GGTTGTGTGAGCATCCCGTGTTAGCTAGGTTGTGTGAGCATCCCGTGTTAGCTAGGTTGTGTGAGCATCCCGTGTTAGCTAGGTTGTGTGAGCATCCCGTGTTAGCTAGGTTGTGTGAGCATCCCGTGTTAGCTAGGTTGTGTGAGCATCCCGTGTTAGCTAGGTTGTGTGAGCATCCCGTGTTAGCTACGTTGTGTGAGCATCCCGTGTTAGCATAGCTAGATTGTGTGAGCATCCCGTGTTAGCATAGCTAGGTTGTGTGAGCATCCCGTGTTAGCATAGCTAGGTTGTGTGAGCATCCCGTGTTAGCATAGCTAGGTTGTGTGAGCATCCCGTGTTAGCTAGGTTGTGTGAGCATCCCGTGTTAGCTAGGTTGTGTGAGCATCCCGTGTTAGCTAGGTTGTGTGAGCATCCCGTGTTAGCTAGGTTGTGTGAGCATCCCGTGTTAGCTAGGTTGTGTGAGCATCCCGTGTTAGCTAGGTTGTGTGAGCATCCCGTGTTAGCTACGTTGTGTGAGCATCCCGTGTTAGCTAGGTTGTGTGAGCATCCCGTGTTAGCTACGTTGTGTGAGCATCCCGTGTTAGCTAGGTTGTGTGAGCATCCCGTGTTAGCTAGGTTGTGTGAGCATCCCGTGTTAGCTAGGTTGTGTGAGCATCCCGTGTTAGCTAGGTTGTGTGAGCATCCCGTGTTAGCTACGTTGTGTGAGCATCCCGTGTTAGCTAGGTTGTGTGAGCATCCCGTGTTAGCTAGGTTGTGTGAGCATCCCGTGTTAGCTAGGTTGTGTGAGCATCCCGTGTTAGCTAGGTTGTGTGAGCATCCCGTGTTAGCTAGGTTGTGTGAGCATCCCGTGTTAGCTACGTTGTGTGAGCATCCCGTGTTAGCTAGGTTGTGTGAGCATCCCGTGTTAGCTACGTTGTGTGAGCATCCCGTGTTAGCTAGGTTGTGTGAGCATCCCGTGTTAGCTAGGTTGTGTGAGCATCCCGTGTTAGCTAGGTTGTGTGAGCATCCCGTGTTAGCTAGGTTGTGTGAGCATCCCGTGTTAGCTACGTTGTGTGAGCATCCCGTGTTAGCTAGGTTGTGTGAGCATCCCGTGTTAGCTAGGTTGTGTGAGCATCCCGTGTTAGCTAGGTTGTGTGAGCATCCCGTGTTAGCTAGGTTGTGTGAGCATCCCGTGTTAGCTAGGTTGTGTGAGCATCCCGTGTTAGCTACGTTGTGTGAGCATCCCGTGTTAGCTAGGTTGTGTGAGCATCCCGTGTTAGCTACGTTGTGTGAGCATCCCGTGTTAGCTAGGTTGTGTGAGCATCCCGTGTTAGCTAGGTTGTGTGAGCATCCCGTGTTAGCTAGGTTGTGTGAGCATCCCGTGTTAGCTAGGTTGTGTGAGCATCCCGTGTTAGCTAGGTTGTGTGAGCATCCCGTGTTAGCTAGGTTGTGTGAGCATCCCGTGTTAGCTAGGTTGTGTGAGCATCCCGTGTTAGCTAGGTTGTGTGAGCATCCCGTGTTAGCTACGTTGTGTGAGCATCCCGTGTTAGCATAGCTAGATTGTGTGAGCATCCCGTGTTAGCATAGCTAGGTTGTGTGAGCATCCCGTGTTAGCATAGCTAGGTTGTGTGAGCATCCCGTGTTAGCATAGCTAGGTTGTGTGAGCATCCCGTGTTAGCTAGGTTGTGTGAGCATCCCGTGTTAGCTAGGTTGTGTGAGCATCCCGTGTTAGCTAGGTTGTGTGAGCATCCCGTGTTAGCTAGGTTGTGTGAGCATCCCGTGTTAGCTAGGTTGTGTGAGCATCCCGTGTTAGCTAGGTTGTGTGAGCATCCCGTGTTAGCTACGTTGTGTGAGCATCCCTGTTAGCTAGGTTGTGTGAGCATCCCGTGTTAGCTACGTTGTGTGAGCATCCCGTGTTAGCTAGGTTGTGTGAGCATCCCGTGTTAGCTAGGTTGTGTGAGCATCCCGTGTTAGCTAGGTTGTGTGAGCATCCCGTGTTAGCTAGGTTGTGTGAGCATCCCGTGTTAGCTAGGTTGTGTGAGCATCCCGTGTTAGCTAGGTTGTGTGAGCATCCCGTGTTAGCTAGGTTGTGTGAGTATCCCGTGTTAGCTAGGTTGTGTGAGCATCCCACGTTAACATGGTTGTGTGAATATCCCGTACTGAAAAAGACAAATTAAATAATAAATATAATTCCTTGTGCGACTGATCTCATAATTAATCTCAAATTTGATCTGTTTGACATGACTGAGTTTCAGCTCTTTGGCTTCTTGGAGAATTTAAGTCTAAGCTTCAGGGCCCGGCATACTGACCTGAAACTTCAGCTCTTGGAGTGCTTTTGAGTTACAGTTCTTAGCCCTATTTTTAATGTTGTGGTATAACTAATGGTCCTCGTAAGTGTGTTTAAGTGCAGCTTCCAGGCCTCTTCAAGGTACTGATCTGTATGGAGTGCTGGAACCTCTTGAGGATAATAATACTTCAACTTGATATCCTACCGAGTTGCAGCCTCCTGTCTCCTCTTAGAATGCCTCTAAATCTCTTGCCGAGTTCTTCACATACTTCCTGGTCATTCCGTGTGAGCTCCTACCTGTTTTTTTTGTTCAGCTTGATTACCTGCTCCTGGACGGTTTTCTTCCTGATGTGCTGTATACCAACTTTGTGTCAGATTTGGCTTTTGATGCTGTGTTATTCTCATATTGCCGCTGGGCGTCTCTCCTTGTCCATATATATTCGTTTCTGGCTATTCAGCTTAACTCCTGGTTTCCTGAATACTTTTCCTTTATTACTTTTTCCATGCTCTAGCACACTTGGTTTTGGCCTCTCTACACCTGTTTCGCTCTCCACTGTTAACTCTACAAGGATCATGTGATCACTAGAGCCGAAGGGCCTTTCGCATGTAATATCCCCTATATTGGAACTGCTTAACGTGAATACGAGGTCCAGCCTCGCTGGTTCATCGTCTCCTCTCTTTATGGTTGTGTCCTTAACATGTTGGTACATGAAGTTTTCCAGTACCACTTCCAGTATTTTGGCCCTCCACGTTTCTGGTCCCCAGTGTGGCTCTTGGCTGTTCCAGTCATTCACCTTGTGATTAAAGTTCTCCATGACCAGCATACTCGCCCTGCCCATGTAAGCCCTTCTGGCCCCCTCAGCTAGTGTATCCACCATTGCTGTATTGCTCTCATCATATTCTTGTCTTGGTTTCTTGCTGTTCAGTAGCGGATTGTACATCAGTGCTATCGCCAGCTTGGGACTCCCAGTGTGAGGTGATCTTGCAATGTAGTTATCTGCTTCCCCCTCTGTTCATTCCTCCCATCTCAAAACTCCACTGGTTTCTGATGAGCAGTGCACTCGCCTATTTGTGGTTGCAGGAGTCGAGTCTTAGCTCCTGGCCCCGCCTCTTCACTGGTTGCTACTGGGTCCTCTCTCTCCCTGCTCCATGAGCTTTATCAAACCTCGTCTTAAAACTCTGTTCGGTTCCCGCCTCCGCTACATCCCTTTCTAGGCTATTCCACTGCCTGACTACTCTATGACTGAAGAAATACTTCCTAACATCCCTTTGACTCATCGGACTCTTCAACTTCCAATTGTGACCTCTTGTTTCTGTGTCCCCTCCCTGGAACATCCTGTCTTTGTCCACCTTGTCTATTCCACGCAGTATTTTGTATGTCGTTATCGTGTCTCCCCTGACCCTCCTGTCCTCTAGTGTCGTCAGGCCGATTTCCCTTAACCTTTCTTCGTAGGACATTACCCTTAGCTCTGGAACTAACCTTGTCGCAAACCTTTGCACTTTCTCTAATTTCTTGACGTGCTTGATCAAGTGCGGGTTCCAAACTGGTGCTGCATACTCCAGTATGGGCCTGACGTACACGGTGGTGTGTGTGTGTGTGTGTTACCTGGAGGTTACCTGGAGGTTATTCCGGGGATCAACGCCCCCGCGGCCCGGTCCATGACCAGGCCTCCCGAAGGATCAGGGCCTGATCAACTAGGCTGTTACTGCTGGCCGCACGCAGTCCAACGTACGAGCCACAGCCCGGCTGATCCGGCACTGACTTTAGGTATCTGTCCAGCTCTCTTGAAGGCAGCCAGGAGCTTATTGGTAATTCCCCTAATGCTTGATGGGAGGCTGTTGAACAGTCTTGGGCCCCAGACACTTATGGTGTTTTCCCTTAGTGTACCAATGGCGCCCCTACTTTTTATTGGGGGCATTTTGCATCGCCTGCCCAGTCTTTTACTTTCGTAGGGAGTGATTTCTGTGTGCAGATTTGGGACCATTCCTTCCAAGATTTTCCAAGTGTAGATTATGATATATCTCTCCCTCCTGCGTTCCAACGAGTACAAGTCAAGTGCTTCCAAGCGTTCCCAGTAGTTAAGGTGCTTGACAGAACTTATACGTGCAGTAAAGGATCTCTGTACACTCTCTAGATCTGCGATTTCACCAAATCACTCAATAACCAATCAGTCCTTCTAACTCAGCTACGCCAAAAGCCTCAGCAAGGGATTAAATCAGCTGCGAGAGGAAATATACTATGACAGCAAAATTATCATATACAATTTATAGGCGAAGATAAGCGTCACTTTCTTAGTTTATTGATGAAGTAACCGAGAGTTTTCAATGTTGTTGGTTATTGTCACATACTGTCATTGTGCAGAGAACTTTAGCCTGTTACTAAATTTTCGTGTCTGTGTTTGTGAAAAGATGAATCATACGAAGTTTAAAATTTATAAATTATTCTTTGTGTTGTTGGATACTTGATATTATTGTGTTTGAAGATGGTTGACGTTCCTGTGTTTTTATAATATATGTTTATTACTACAAGTACATGTACAAGGTATACAGTCCTAGTTGACATCAATGACATACTACTATATAGAAAGTCACTTGTTATGCTGACGGGGGAACATAGACAATCTGTGTGAGGAAACGCGCCTAATGTTTCTACCCTCGCCGGGAATCGAACCCGGACTCCCCGTGTGAAACGAGAGCTTTAACCACCAGGCGGTTGATGTTTCTGTGTTTGCAGATGGTTCACTTGCTGGAGACGCGACTGATTGACCCGAGTTCGTTCAGACTTAGCAACACCGACAGCAGCACCGACGGCAGCAGCGGCAGGAGTTCGTCAGACGAGCGTTACAATATCAACAGTTTAATGGAGCAGCGATTGTATCTGCTGACGGAGCATGTGGCGAGGATCGACACGAAGCTGTCGAGTGTACAGAAGGCGCTCGACACGAACAGCATCGTCATGCCTCAGGACGAGCTGGTGGCAGCTGCCTCGGAGAGTTACCGTGTTGGAGTTGATGTGCCTCGCCTTCAGTCACTTGAGAAGGTGAGTCCTCGCTCAAACACCGCAGACTTACATCAGTCAATTGACAAGGTGAGTCCCCGCCAACAAACCGGTGGCTTACACCAGTCACCCTCGTCAGTCACACCCGTCACTAGCGCCCATTATTCACTCCCACCACTTCTCACTCACACTCTTCTCTCACACTTTTATTGTTTATGCTTTCTTCTATGAATCTCTGATGTGATGTTAAGTGACAAGGGACACCTTATCCCTTCTTCTGAAGGAGGAGTGGGACTAAGGCTCTAAGGTAGAGGAAGCTAAGTTTTGGACGTAATCAGACACAACTCTTGACTGGAAGCTCAGACTGGGGCTGAGAGTAAAGAATATAGTAGCAAACGAGTGGACAGTGTTAGTACCAGTCTAGTTTATCCATGTGCATCCCATTCCCTCGATAATATTACTCCATTTCTTTATAGTAAGACGTTGGTTAGTATAGAGTGCAGTAATTAATATGTTGAATCTCTTGCAGCGAGTGTATGTAGACCAGTGTTCCAGACCATACCACGGGCGGGAATAGAACCTGCGATCAGTCTCAAAACTCCAGACCGTCGCGTTAGCCACGATCTCAAAACTCCAGACCGTGGCTAACGCGACGGTCTGGAGTTTTGAGACTCTCTGATCGTAGGTTCTGTCCCCGCCCGTGGTATGGTTAGTTTGCAATCGTGTCATTACGATTTCGTGAGTCAGTGTACCAGTGTTAAGCTGCTGTAACAGTAAAAATGTCCAGTAAATGGTGAAACTATTCATAAAAAAAATAATACTCCTTCCCTTGATTTCCAGTTCTCCCTTCGATCCCTTTATTATACTAAAATGATTACTATATATAAGTAGAAGAGTGATTCAGTGATTCGTGGACCAGTGCAGTGGTTCATGAACCACTGCACTGGTTAATCCATGGCCCAAGTGAAGGTTTCTATCTGGTCAATTATATTAACTGAAATTTTACCGGTGGACTAAGAGTGAGACGTAAAGTTCGACACTGAGGTTTATGTATTCTTATGTACAGCTCTTATGAGGAGACTCGTTAAGACGAGCCTCAGTTTACTGTTTCTTAATATATTTATTTTCCCCCTGTAATCTACCTTGTCCATAATTACTATTGCATCTACTTTTTCTGCTTTCGTAAAGTGAAGTCCAGGATCCTTCCTTAATTCATGGTATAACTTAACAAATCTTTGATGGCTGTTACTATGAATTAAGGAAAGATTCTGGACTTCACTTTACGAAAGAAGGCAAAGAAATGTGATAGTAATTATGGACAAGGTAGATTATAGGGGGAAAGTAACATATTAGAAGACAGAGGAGCTAACGTTCCCCTTAATTCAATGAGTAACGCGAGAAAGAGTATAGAAACATACGAAGGTCTGTTAATTTTGTCTTCGTAAACAGATGTTTAAAATTCTGAAAGGGATGACATTTTTCTAGTTGTTATTGATGTATTATGACTCTTATAATAATCATTTAAAATTGCTGCCAAAATAGTATTTATCATCTTTTAGTTCTTATCAGCTTAAATTTCCAAGGATGAAAAAATCCAAACAAATAATTAACATATAATTTGCTTTGTTTAGATATGTTTCTTGCTTTCCTGAAACAATGTTCTTTATATTACGGTTTGAACAGCAACTCTAACATGACTTTAAGACTACGTTGCCACAAAAAGCGATGAAAGCTATGCCTAGCTTTTCTCTCTTCATTCACTCCCAGTAATGTATCAGTTTCCTAGGAGAAATTTCCATATGTCTCCTGACGTACAAAATACCACCGCCACCACCGCTCTCTCAAATTCCAATCTAAATTTTTCCCATCTCTTAGTAATAAAAACCATCCCATTTTCTATGTTTGTGCTCATAAGACCTCACTTCTGTTTCTATCATCAAATATTTCCACTCCAGCTCAATCCTTTTTTCTCTCTAAGCTCCAACCCCTCATTGCTTTTTTCACGGACTTTTCATCTTCCTTCCGTCAGACTCCGGCATTAGGTCAGCTACAAGAATCTATAGAATCCGTGCGTGAGTCAGTGACCTCAATGGACCGGCGGCTGCAGTTCCACATGGCTTACGTGTCCGGAGACCTGGAGCAACTAGCTGGCTCCGTCAGGAACATTCACACTGCTATACTGGAGGACCAGACTCCTACCTTCTCCACCACCACAGAGTCAATCAGGTGAGGCAAGACGTTCAAAGAATGTTACATATGGTGTTCCTTATGTATGAAACTTCATGCGGATGTTTCACATAGTCTGCTTTATGTATAGTGACTTAAGTAAGGTTAATCTTTCAATCTACTCTGAGTACATCAGCATCTAATGGCCTCTGGTTTTAGTCCAACTATCTAAAGTGATCTTTAGCTTCAAGAATATAATTTTGATATAAATATACCTCCATAAGTAAGCAACTTATAAATACCTCAAAGAAGGTAAAACACGAAATTTAAAAAAAAAATCTTCGAAGTAGTTGGTAGTAACAGGTAATATGTTTGTGGTGATGTCACGATTGTAAACAATCACGGCCAAGTGGTTAACACACTGGCCCGTGAATTTTTAGGACTTTCCGTGGTTTAGGCCCCCCACTCGTTCCGTGATTTTTAATGTGTTGTGTGTCTGTAGGAACGTGACAGGTCCGCCGCCACCTCGCACCAAGATCGACTCCCTAGTGGACAGGATGTCGCCCATGGAGACTGTCTGGGAGAAAATGGAAGAAGTGAGTGTCTCTCTAGGTTGTCTGTAATTGTTTTAACAAGTGGCTGTGTGATGGACAAAAGTTGCTTGTGTTGCCTTCAATGTTATTATCTTCACATTACCAGCAGCTGTACCCAACATAACTACCAGCAGCTGTACCCAACATAACTACCAGCAGCTGTACCCAACATAACTACCAGCAGCTGTACCCAACATAACTACCAGCAGCTGTACCCAACATAACTACCAGCAGCTGTACCCACATAACTACCAGCAGCTGTACCCAACATAACTACAGCAGCTGTACCCAACATAACTACCAGCAGCTGTACCCAACATAACTACCAGCAGCTGTACCCAACATAACTACCAGCAGCTGTACCCAACATAACTACCAGCAGCTGTACCCAACATAACTACCAGCAGTTGTACCCAACATAACTACCAGCCACTGTACCCAACATAACTACCAGCCACTGTACCCAACATAACTACCAGCCACTGTACCCAACATAACTACCAGCAGCTGTACCCAACAAAATAACTACCAGCAGCTGTACCCAACAAAATAACTACCAGCAGCCGTACCCTACTAGCAGCTGTACCCTACATAATAACTGCTATCAGCTGTACCCAACATAAATACTAGCAGCTGTACCCAACATTACTAGCAGCTGCATCATTACTAGCAGCTATACCAATATAACTACTAGCAGCTGTACCAAAAACGAGCTGCCTTACCAAACAATACTAGCAGCTGTAACCAACATTACTAGCAGTGTTACCCAAATATTAGCTGTACCAACATACAGCGTGTACCAATACTTACTAGCAGTTGTTACCCAAATTCACTATTAGCATCTGTAACCAACATTACGAGCAGTTGTACCAATATTATTAGCAGCTGTACCCAACAAAATAACTACCTCCAGTTGTACCCAGCATCACCTGCAGCTGTACCCAACATTACTAGCAGCTGTACCCAACATTACTAGCAGCTGTACCCAACATTACTAGCAGCTGTACCCAACATTACTAGCAGCTGTACCAACATTACTAGCAGCTGTACCCAACATTACTAGCAGCTGTACCCAACATTACTAGCAGCTGTACCCAACATTACTAGCAGCTGTACCCAACATTACTAGCAGCTGTACCCAACATTACTAGTCGCTGTACCCAACATTACTAGCAGCTGTACCCAGCATTACTAGCAGCTGTACCCAACATTACTAGCAGCTGTACCCAACATTACTAGCAGCTGTACCCAACATTACTAGCAGCTGTACCCAACATTACTAGCAGCTGTGCTCAACAGTACTGGCAGCTGTACCCAACATTACTAGCAGCTGTACCCAACATTACTAGCAGCTGTACCCAACATTACTAGCAGTGTACCAACATTACTAGCAGCTGTACCCAACATTAATAGCAGCTGTACTCAACATTACTAGCAGCTGTACCCAACATTACTAGCAGCTGTACCCAACATTACTAGCAGCTGTACCCAACATTACTAGCAGCTGTACCCAACATTACTAGCAGCTGTACCCAACATTATCTAGCAGCTTGTACCCAACATTACTAGCAGTTGTACCCAACATTACTAGCAGTTGTACCCAACATTACTAGCAGTTGTACCCAACATTACTAGCAGTTGTACCCAACATTACTAGCAGCTTGTACCCAACATTACTAGCAGCTGTACCCAACATTACTAGCAGCTGTACCCAACATTACTAGCAGCTGTACCCAACATTACTAGCAGCTGTACCCAACATTACTAGCAGCTGTACCCAACATTACTAGCAGCTGTACCCAACATTACTAGCAGCTGTACCCAACATTATAGCAGCTGTACCCAATTATAGAGTGTACAATTAGAGTGTACACATTACTAGCAGCTGTACCCAACATTACTAGCAGTTGTACCCAACATTACTAGCAGCTGTACCCAACATTACTAGCAGCTGTACCCAACATTACTAGTCGCTGTACCCAACATTACTAGTCGCTGTACCCAGCATTACTAGCAGCTGTACCCAACATTACTAGCAGCTGTACCCAACATTACTAGCAGCTGTACCCAACATTACTAGCAGCTGTACCCAACATTACTAGCAGCTGTGCTCAACAGTACTGGCAGCTGTACCCAACATTACTAGCAGCTGTACCCAGCATTACTAGGAGCTGTACCCAACAATACTAGCAGTTGTACCAACATTACTAGCAGCTGTACCCAACATTACTAGCAGCTGTACTCAACATTACTAGCAGCTGTCTGTACCCAACATTACTAGCAGCTGTACCCAACATTACTAGCAGCTGTACCCAACATTACTAGCAAGCCTGTTACCCTACATTTACTTAGCAGCTGTACCCAACATTACTAGCAGTTGTACCCAACTTACTAGACAGTTGTACCCAACATTTACTAGCAGTTGTACCCAACATGACTAGCAGTTGTACCCAACATGACTAGCAGTTGTACCCAACATTACTAGCAACTGTACCCAACATTACTAGCAGCTGTACCACCAACATTACTAGCAGCTGTACCCAACATTACTAGCGCTGTACCCAACATTTACTAGCAGCTGTACTCAACATTACTAGCAGCTGTACCCAACATTACTAGCAGCTGTGCCCAACATTACTAGCAGCTGTGCCCAACATTACTAGCAGCTGTACCCAACATTACTAGCAGCTGTACCCAACATTACTAGTCGCTGTACCCAACATTTACTAGCAGCTGTACCAACATTACTAGCAGCTGTACCCCAACATTGTTTAGCAGCTGTACCCAACATTACTAGCAGCTGTACTCAACATTACTAGCAGTGTACCCAACATTACTAGCAGTTGTTACACCAACATTTACTAGCAGCTGTACCCAACATTACTAGCAGCTGAACCCAACATTACTAGCAGCTGTGCTCAACAGTACTGGCAGCTGTACCCAACATTACTAGCAGCTGTACCCAGCATTACTAGGAGCTGTACCCAACATTACTAGCAGTTGTACCCAACATTACTAGCAGCTGTACCCAACATTACTAGCAGCCTGACTCAACATTACTAGCAGCTGTACCACATTTACTAGCAGCTGTACCCAACATTACTAGCAGCTGTACCCAACATTACTAGCAGCTGTACCCAACATTACTAGCAGCTGTACCCAACATTACTAGCAGTTGTACCCAACATGACTAGCAGTTGTACCCAACATGACTAGCAGTTGTACCCAACATTACTAGCAGTTGTACCCAACATTACTCTAGCAGCTGTACCCAACTCTTACTAGCAGCTGTACCCAACATTACTAGCAGCTGTACCCAACATTACTAGCAGCTGTACCCAACATTACTAGCAGCTGTACCCAACATTACTTGTGAAATATAAAAAGAATTTTTACTGTACGATTGTTTATGCACACTTGTCTTCACCAGCCTCACACACTTGTCTTCACCAGCCTCACACACTTGTCTTCACCAGCCTCACACACTTGTCTTCACCAGCCTCACACACTTGTCTTCACCAGCCTCACACACTTGCCTTCACAAATACCAAACACTTGCCAGTGTTCCTCTTTTAATTTATTTTATAATTATATTTAAATAGGATAAAACATTTGGAGAGAAATATGAAAATTAGGTCTGTATATTTCGGCCTAATTCATATACCTTCTTCAGAAGATCTCTGGCTTAAGCTGATATATTTAGATCTCTTCTTTGACCAACTTATATTGGGTCGGTGTTTTGATCTGCGAAGAGATTGTTATTTTCACGGGGAAGCGCTATACCTGTATGGGTTATGCTGCGCGTGGGGAATGGGATTCAAATCAGGCTCGATGAAAGGAAGTGGAGGGAAGATCCTATTCCCTGGATCAAGAGGCATTTACAGAGCCAAAAGCTGATCTTGTTGTACCTGGAATTCATGGTTGTGTCCACCTTCCTCATTTATTATTGGCCAGTTTTTTTTTTTTTTTTCTAAAAAATCGACCTTGTAAACCAATGTTTTAAGCATTCTGGAGAGAGTGAGAGAGAGAGAGAGAGGATCTAGCCTCTAAGAGTGTGATGTACACACAGGTGTGGGACGTAGTGGTGGGAACCAAAAGCTCTGTGGACGTGTTAGTGCCTAAGAGTGAGGCACTACTCAACACCAGCCAGCGGCAGGAGCGAGCCATCTCTACCATACAGTCAGACCTCACCGAGAAGGCCAACCGCATCATTCAAAATCTGGACCAGGTAAGAAGAGTGAACTTTAATCATTTTATATACTCTCACTCTATTACGCCGGGGGTTATATAGCTGCATATAGTGTACAGTATTTTAGTGTTATAACCTCGAGTTTCAATTGAAAACATGATTCAGTACTTAAATACTTGTTTCTATCATAAATAATTACATTAACTCTTCTCCATAGTGGAAACTACACACACACACACACACACACACACCACACACACACACACACACACACACACACACACACACACACACACACACATACACAGTCTCTCGACCCCTACAACCACAATTAGGTGAGTACAGTTAGGTGAGTACACACACAGCCAGGCTGTGACCGACCCCTGGGACCACAATTAGGTGAGTACAGTATACACAGCTGTTTGAATATATCCTGCAAGGGCAGGGACTGAAGATCTTCCACCGGTTGCAGTCCAAGGTAGCCAGGAATGATGGATGGATACACTAGCTGAGGTGGGAAGGCAACGCTAAACTACAGACTAGTGTCACTAACATGTATGTAAATTTATGCAGATTATCAGCAGAGCGATGGAACGCCAAGAAAAAAACGGATTTATACTTGACAACCAGCACAAGTTTAAGGAAAATCCTGTGTAACAAACCTACTATAATTCTAAGACCAGGTAACAGAAGTAAGACAGGGGAGAGAGAGAGAGAGAGGGATGAGTAGATTGCATTTTCTTGGACTGTAAGAAGGCCTTTGACACAGTATCACACAAGAGACTGGTACAAAAGCTAGAGGAGGAAGCAGGAATAACAGGAAAAGCACTACTACGCTATCAAAGCGTACCTGACAGGAAGGAAACCACGAGAAATGGTTGGTCTGTGACGAGGTGTCGGAAACGGTACATGTAACGAGTGGAGTTCCACAAGGATCAGTACTGGGACCGGTGCTGTTTCCCGTATACATGAATGGCATGACAGAAGGAATAGTCAGAGGTATCCTTGTTCGTAAATAGCATGAAACTAATGAGAATACAAGTGGACGAGGAACAGGAAAGGCTACACTCGGATCTGGACAGGCTACAGACCTGGTCTGACAATAGCTGCTGGAGATTAACCCCACCAAGTGCAAAGTTATGAAGACTGAAGAAGGACAAGGAAAACCACAGACGGAGTACAGACTCGGGGAGCAAAAGTTGCAAACCACATTCAAAAATGACCTAAGTATGAGCATCAAACCAAACATATTCCCAGCATCGGACATCAATCAAATAACTGCTGCATCAGATGCACGTTAGGCAAATCTACGAATAGCTTTTCGACATCTAAAGAGTCATTCGCAACACTATCCACCGTGTCCGTCAGGCCCGTATGAAGCACCAGTATGGAACTCACACCCCTTCAAGCACATCAAAAAAATGGAGAAAATACAGAAGTTTGCAACAAGACTAGTTCCGGAGCTAAGAGGTACGTTTTATGAGGAGAGGTTAAGGAACTCAACCTAGGAGGGATAGGGGCAAGAACATGATAACGACGTATAAAATACTGAGAGGAATTGACAAGGTGGACAGGGGTAGAATGTTTCAGAGAGGACTTAGGAACAAGAGGACGCAAATGGAAGTTGAGAACTCAGATGAGTCATAGGGATGTTAAGTAATTTTTGGTATATGTGAATGACATGATGGAAGGGATAGACTCAGAAGTGTCCCTGTTCGCAGATGATGTGAAGTTAATGAGGAGAATTAATTCAGATGAGGATCAGGCAGAACTTCAAAGAGACCTGGACAGACTGGACACCTGGTCCAGCAACTGGCTTCTCGAATTTAACCCCTGCCAAATGCAAAGTCATGAAGATCGGGGAAGGGCACAGAAGACCGCAGACGGAGTATAGGCTAGGTGGCCAAAGACTGCAAACCTCGCTCAAGGAGAAAGATCTTGGAGTGAGCATAACACCGAGCTTGTCTCCGGAAGCACACATCAACCAGATAACTGCTGCAGCATATGGGCGCCTGGCAAAACTGAGAACAGCGTACCGATACCTTAGTAAGGAATCGTTCAAGACACTGTAACCATGTACGTCAGGCCCATATTGGAGTATGCGGCACCTGTTTGGAACCCGCACTTGATCAAGCACGTCAAGAAATTAGAGAAAGTGCAAAGGTTTGCGACTAGGTTAGTTCCAGAGCTAAGGGGAATGTCCTATGAAGAAAGGTTAAGGGAAATCGGCCTGACGACACTGGAGGACAGGAGGGTCAGGGAAGACATGATAACGACATACAAAATACTGCGTGGAATAGACAAAGTGGACAGACAGGATGTTCCAGAGAGGGACACAGAAACAAGGGGTCACAATTGAAGTTGAAGACCCAGATGAGTCAAAGGGATGTTAGGAAGTATTTCTTCAGTCAAGAGTAGTCAGGAAGTGGAATAGCCTAGCACGTGAGGTGGTGGAGGCAGGAACCATACATAGCCTTAAGATGAAGTATGATAAACCTCATGAAGCAGGGAGAGAGGACCTAGTACACTCGGTGAAGAGGCGGGAACAGGAGCCGAGTCTCGACCCCTGCAACCACAATTAGGTGAGTACACACACACACACACACACACAGACACACAGATACAAAAAAAAAACAGGCCTAGTGTCTAATCGACATGTGCCTAGGACAGAATGGTAACTAACTAACACCTGTATCCTAGCAATGTGGCCTTAGGCCCCGCTTGTACCTGACTGATCATCCAAACTGTTTCTTCAAACGATCTGCAGTCCAACATTGTCATCAAAACAACTCATTGTAACGGACTTCATATGAATTCATATATACCTACTCTAAACCCTAACAAGACTACTCTAAAAAAAATACTTAATAAGAAATTACTTAATAAAACTTGTTTTCTGATAAATGTAAGAGTTACAAGCCTCATCAACTGTAATTTTTACACAGAGTTTTATTTATACGGAATATAGCACATGTGTAAGCAGCCTATATTGTGTATTAAGGAATTTTTTTCACAGTCAAAATATAACTAGTGTGATAGAATGTTGTGAATATTCAATTGATTGTTATTAATTGTTTGGAGTTAGTATTACATTCCACCTCTTAGTAAGTTTATTCAGGTACACGTAGACATAAATACAGTTACGTAAATTATCATACATAGCAGCATATATATATATAGATTACCCAGGATAACCAAAAATGTCAAAGTGGATCATTTCCACTGCGGTCCTTCACCTCCGGTCAAGAATAGTCATCACTAAAAAAGAAATTAACGAACTCTGTGGGTCTGTGGCTTGTCTTGGTCACCCTGGATTATTAACCCAGGAGGGGTCATTAACCCCTGGGTTAATCAAAGATGAAGTCGAATAATAAATAATAATAATTCCAGGGGTAAAGGAAATGTCCTATGAGTAAATTATTATAATCGTGGGGGAGCTCTAAACCCGTAGGATTACACAGCACTTATGAGGAAGGCCTAGGAGAATTCAGCCTGATAGCACTGAAGTTAGTTTATTTAGGTAAAGGTGCATAAAAATAGTTACACAAATTATCATGCATAGTAACATGTGTAAATTACCTAGGATAACCCACAAAAGTTGAAGTGACAGGAGGACTAGGGGGATATGATAACAACGTATAAAATACCGAGAGGAATTGACAGGGTTATCCTAGGTAAGTTACACTATGTATGATAATTGTATTTGTGTACCTGTGCCTTAATCAATATACTGTTACTATTACATTACCGTTGTAATAATTATTATAATCAAGGGGGAGCGCTAAACCCGTATGGGATTATATAGCGCCTGTGAGGGGGGGGGATGGAAGGCATTCAGGCCCAATTCCCTAGATCAAGAGCCCCTCAACAGCCCGGTGGCCTGGTGGCTAAAGCTCCCGCTTCACACACGGAGGGCCCGGGTTCGATTCCCGGCGGGTGGAAACATTTCGACACGTTTCCTTACACCTGTTGTCCTGTTCACCTAGCAGCAAATAGGTACCTGGGTGTTAGTCGACTGGTGTGGGTCGCATCCTGGGGGACAAGATTAAGGACCCCAATGGAAATAAGTTAGACAGTCCTCGATGACGCACTGACTTTCTTGGGTTATCCTGGGTGGCTAACCCTCCGGGGATTAAAAATCCGAACGAAATCTTATCTTATCAAGGAACCTCCCTTGTGGGGACCGTTGTAATGAGAAAATCTAAGTTCACCCTGTATTAAGAAGCTTACAGAAGACGGGAAGTTCTCTGCTAGGAGATACTCCTCTTTCCTTATTTTGAATTCTTGCCTCTTCGTCTTACCATGCCAGACAGTTGAACTGAATTGAAATTTTTATTTCTCTGTAAAGATTACAATGGGTGGTTTGCATATTATAAAACAACAATTACAAAGAAGGCCACTAGCATGCCTAGCAAGACCAGGTATTTCGGAGCCATGTCCTCGCCTGGTCTTTTCTGTTGTGAGCGAACGCTCTACCACTAAACTAGATCTGACACTCAGCAACTGCACGTTGATCAAAAAAGCTCCAATTTATGTGCTTGCTTACACCGACAATATTTTTATCCTGAAAATGTTTGATGATAGTTAACGTACGCAAATAACCGCACATAGGAGAGGGAAGGTTATGGCGACGTTAGCTCTTCTTTTTTAGGACAATAATAATCTTTATTTCTACAAGTACGTGATACAACTAATACAGACCTAGCAGACATCATTGGCATACTATTTAGAAAGCCCAGAGTCGTGCAGATCATTAACAGTTTACTAGGTTTCTCTTCCCAATAACTGCAGGAGTAGATTTGTACTGTCATTCTTGATGTGATGGTTCAGTGATGTCTGGTGTCACTGTTGGTCACTTGATGGAATCGTCGCCTCAGTGTTTCTTGCTTCTCATCAGATTATATTTAGAATCTTGAATAAATAATTATTCTGCTCGTATTTAAATGTTGGTTATATGGTTGTTTCTGTGAAGTGAGTCAAAGCCTTCATTGTTTTCTGCTTTGATATAATTGGCAGCACTCCGCCTCCCGTAATGCTTTCAGTGTTGTACTGATTTTATTAAGGATGACAAGGTTCGTGTATGAAGCTGGTTCAGTGGCTTCTAAAACAGTGGATTAAAAAATGCTGTACAGTCTCCTGAACACGGCAGTTAATGCATTTTTCATTTATATTTGTTCTGTAGGATGTGTAATTTTTTTTTTTTATTCGCCGGTATTCTCCCGGCCCGGGTCTTTTCCAAGTAGTGGTGACCCGGCCTTGGCTCCCTATCTGGGGAGTGTCTCGAGACTTAAGTCTCCCATGGGAGGAGGTACAAGTACCCCCTCATCTTCGGGACCAACTGTCCCCAGGCCTAGCCACATTCCCCGCCCTCACGGGGCTCGTAGGGAGAAGCTAGGCCTCTGGTCTGCCATCTGCCCCGTCCCAAAGGGGCTCGTGGGGATGGCAGTCTTATGAGCTGCAGGTGGTAGCAAGCTCAGGCCTTCAAACCCCTTGTAGGATGTGTATCTGGAGCTGTGAAGGTTTGTTACTCCGTCTGCTGACTGCAAGACAGACGAGCTTCCTATTTGAACTCGCTTAGATGTAAAGGAAACATAGTAATTATTATAATCATGGGGAGCACTAAACCCTTAGGGATTATACAGCGCCTGTGGGGGGGGAAGGATAGAAGGAATTCAGGCTCAATTCAGGGAACAGGAGCACAGATCCAATTCCCAAGATCAAGAGCCCCTCACCAGCGTCAAGGAACCTCGCTTGAGGTGTGTAAAGGCACTAGCAGGGCAGCCTAGCAGTAATCTGTCCATTGCTGTAATACTCTAGATTTGAGTCTTACATTTCTACACTTCCCAACTTTTTTTGTACATGGTTTTGTAATATGAGAATGACATTTTAATTTTTTCCAGTGATATTGTTTTCAGAGTGCCTTTACATGCTATATTTTGAATTTAAATGAGTATTGTTTTATTGTGTACTGCTTTAGTGTTTGTCTTGTGAAAATAATGTTTTTGTGATATTTCTAAATGGGTTATGTTAGGCTTGTTTTATGTTGTGGGCTCTGTATGTGTCGTTGTGTGACTATTTTGTAGCTATGTATGTGTGTCAGATGGATTGTTGAGCACATGATGTGTATGAGTTATTGGCACGTATGTTTTTTGTTGTATGATGGGGTTTGTTTGTTTTCTGTCCCAACGCGTGGGAGGCACGAGGTGTATGGACTGTTATAGGTAAAGCTAATCTTGTGTGGGCAACCTATGCTTATTTGGTTTGTTGCGGGTGGTGCTATCTTATGGTGGATGGGACAATATCCACTGGTGGACCTGTCCTCGAAACGTGGGTGGGCACTCTGAACGGGGTGGACAACATTTTAATGCGGAACACCTATCCTTGAACCTGTGGGTGGGACAACACCTATCCTTGAACCTGTGGGTGGGACAACACCTATCCTTGAACCTGTGGGTGGGACAACACCTATCCTTGAACCTGTGGGTGGGACAACACCTATCCTTGAACCTGTGGGTGGGTAACCGTTTTTAAGCAGATCGAGTAAATGTCTGCAAGAGGTAACCAAATAGAATTAGTGGCGACAAGCCGGTGGTATGCAAGTAGTATTACAAGTGTAAATGATGATTAACATATAAATTGAAATTACTGTCTAGTTTTCCGATATCATAAGTGATCGGTTAAAAAAAATATTTTCTTTAATATATTATTTAAACTGTTTTCACGGTACTGTACATACGAGAGGCCTTAGTGGATAACTATGCGGATATGTTATATATATACATATTATAACATATATTATTATATATCTTATAATATATTATATGATGAGTCCAAAGTAATATCCATTTTTCTCTGTGAATATATAGCTAATGGTGATTTTGCCCGATAAGGTGGAGCAGACGCTGAAGACCATGCCCCGTGAGGGCTCCATACAACGTGATCACATCAACCCTGTGACCCTACTGCATCGCTCCACTCAAACCCACCAGGTACAAGACGACACCCCCGCCGACGACCCCCCGGGCGACCTTGTCGACCAGGTAACCAGAGTGGTTTACACTCACCCTGAGGCCAGAAAACTTCGTACTAACTTCATGAATCATATCCCCCCCTCCCCATCCCTCCTGGCTGTTATTTTTGGTACATATACCACGTATATTAATCTTCCAGCACTTTTTTTTATAAACTCGTTCACACGCAATCATTTTTAAAATTATTATTATCATCATAACTATGCGCTAAAGTCCCTTTAACAAATAACAGATTTCGTCCACCCCTTTTTTTTTTTTAATGATTAATCTTTAGTTTCATAGAATTATGGTAATGACATTTTCCTTTACAAAAGTACATATTGCTCAACTTATCTTTTTTTTTTTTTCATTTGTATTAATCACTACAGACTACCTATCTTGATCTGTTATACTGTTGTGGGATTCTTAAAGCACTTGTGTTTACTTCTTAGTGGTCAGTCTTTCCCTTTGTTTATCTCTCTCTCTCTCTCTCTCTCTCCTCCCTCTCTCTCTCTCTCTCTCTCTCTCGTTAAGATAACTCTGACAATACAAGCTTCACGACCCCACATCAGTAGCGTCAGTACAGTCTCTTAATAACGTGGCACGAGTTAGTTCTCACCAATATAAAAGCAAGTATACATAATAATGTAGCTTAATGGGAGTTTTAATTAATCCTCAGAGTATGATCGTCTCCTGCCTTTGCCCTGATTACAGGTTTCCACCCTCATGGTGGATTACTTGATCCCTAAACCCATAGGGATTATACAGCGCCTATAGGGGGGGGGGAATGGAAGGTACTCAGGCTCAATTCAGGGTACTGGAGCAGATCTAATTAATTCCCTAGATCAAGAGCCCCTCACCAGCGTAAATGAACCTCCCTTGAGGTGTGATGTTGGTGGAAAGATCTTGATTCAGAGATCCGGAGCAAACCATACCACGGGCGGGGTTAGAACCTGCGATCAGTGTCTCAAAACTCCAGACCGTCGCGTTAGCCACTGGGCCAGCTAGCCACAATAAGATTCATCCGACTAGGTATATTTCTACACCATAGGAAGGTTAGCACAGGCACCTCTGTGACCACAAATGCAAGTTTTTACAGACGAATCTCCAGCTAGCGTGGCCGTGACGAACTCTAGCTAAAGTCCCTTCAAGGCCATCAACATGTCTCTGATCGCGGGTTCTAATCCCGATTTCGTGAGTCATCCGGAGCAACTCTGCTTCATCAGATCAAACCTGAAAGTTCAACTTTCTATGAGTGATGGTTGCTTTAGATGTAACCCAATTAACTTACAATTCCTCCTCTTCCCTTTGGCTTTAATACGAATACCCAAGACCAAACTGATTTACATTTGATTTTGACGCCTTGTTTCAAGAGCAGTGACACTTTGTGTGGTGTAAACTATGTCTTAAAGAGCCTTCGGCAACTCAGAAGTGGTTTGATAATGAAGTCTATTTACACTGAAGAGTTTGGTTATTGTACGTAAGATGGCTATAGGGTTCACTTTAATTTTAAAACTCTTGTTCTGCATGTCTAATTGTGTCAGGCATATTATAAATAATCACATTTTTTGGTTAGTCTGTGAGTAATAACTTTATTGTACACGATGAGTTGTCTTAATGATGAAAGTAAATTGTTTTAAAGTGCTCGAAAATCAAAAGCTATATTTAAAGTTAATACTAATTGGATTTGTTTTAGTCATTTTCGAGATTTGTCATTTTTTTCCTCTGTATGTCGCAGGATATTTACTAGGCATCATAGGCAGATGTAATACTTACACTGAGTATATCAACAGAGCTTCCTGACGGAGCACAACACGAGCGAGGTGATGACCACAACAGAACGACCAGTTTCCCGCAGTGTTGTGGGACCCTCAGGTGTGGTGTTCCCTTCTGTGCAGAAGAAACCTGTCACTGTCAACACCACCTTCATCATCACTGATCTGAACGAGCAAAACATTAAGGTTAGCGCCAGTGTACGACAGTCATGTCACATACAAGCTTGTTTTTCTCACGTTTTTTTTTTTTCAGAATCTAAATTTAAAACAAGTTCCCCACCCAGGTACGGTGATTCAAAGAATAAAACATAATCATCACTCTAGCTGCCCTTAAAAAAAAAAAAGTGATCCAATGTTGACCTACAAAAACGTTCATGTACTTCTCTAAATTATTATTATTATTATTATTATTATTATTATTATTATTATTATTATTATTTATTATTATTACTATTATTGTGGAAAATTAAATTTACCTGGATGAATCTCATTAGATACATACCAGTAAATGGTAACAAAGATAAATATTTTTTATCAAAGTTACAGAGACGAGTAGGAATTTTAGGACACCTAGATCGCAAAAAATGTACCCCTTCGATACTTACCATAATTTATCTCTCCACAAGTCACTCTTGACCTATATTAATTTCAAATGAAATATACATTACCAAGAATTATGGTAAACATTAATCTATATATGTCGACTGTATGTTAAAATTAATAAATGATTACATATACACATGTAACAGAAGGAGAATTTATAATCATAAGACTCACCCATTTGTCTGGAGATTACTGTGTATATTACCAACCCTCCTTGCCTAAATTTATGAAGAAATTACTGGCCAGAATTCTAACACAAATTAGACAACTTAGCTGGGATAATATCTTGTTTCCACATAATTATGGGGTTCTGTCCAGTCGCCTGATTTCTCATGTTATGTAGGGCTGCAATTCCAACAATTTCGGCTCCTATTTGAGAGGTTTTAAGCCCAATATAACCTCGAGAGCGACGAAAATTTATGCACATTTCATTAGCGTGTCTGTACCACATTCAAAACAATGGCGGCTTCCCCTGCTCGTCAGCGCAGACCCAGAGATTCCCTGTCGGTTCACTTCTATAAAATACACTTTAGAGCAATAGTAATGTATTAATCAGGTATATTTACATTATAAAAATATACAGCATAATTTTTGGGAAATTATTTTCCACAGTTATTATTAAGGGGAAGTGCTAAACCCGTAGGATTATATAGCGCCTGTGGGGGGATTTGAAAGGTATTCAGGTCGAATTCAGGGAACTGGAGCACAGATCCAATTCCCTAGATCAAGAGCCCCTCTCCAGCGTTAAGGAACCTTCCTTGAGGGGCTCTCTAATGAAGATACTCCTAGTTACATATTTAAAAATTCTATTAGGCTAACAGATTTTTCTGTACTCTTTCATAAGTATTATGTTCACACTCGAACATGTCACATTCCATATACCACTGCTGTATCCACTTTTGTATTTACTGGACAATTAAAAAAATACGTTCGGCTCTGCCACTGAGATCAGTGTAGGTGTTCTTATGAACATTCTGAGTCCAAATTGAAAATCGAAACTGAGCTAGCGCATCAGGATTTTTAATTATTGGAAAACAATTTCAAGAATTGTTTATAAATCATGTTCCATCAAATTTTATAGGACAAGTAATGTGGAAAATTATGGGGATGAAGGTCACAGGTACATTCCTGAAATATTTCATCTAAATAATTTGATGGGGCACAACTAATCAACAATTTTTTTGTACTTGCCAATGTTAGCTGTACCTCAGAGCTAGGTGGGATTTTAGAGAGACTAGGTTGTACCATGCCGCCAAGACCCACACACACTCCCACCCACAAACATAGTCGGGCCTATCAAATTACAACATAAAATTAATAGCAACAATGTTGGTAAATTGCAAGATATAGAGTGGTCTGTATGATGGTGTGTGACTTGAAAAGAAAGGGAGGGGATCTGTTGAGTATACAACATTTACAAAAATATATATGTATATTATATGAGCACTCGCCATTTCATTACTGGATCATAATTATTTTTTGGAAACACACCCTAACACTACCACTACAGCTAGAATTTACGATGGCAAATGCAAAGCTACTGTACGTTATGGGTAAGCGCCACTTAGCTGAGGTATGCTCCTGGGAAAATGTGAGTCCTCTATTTTTCCGTTGTTGTTGCCGAAATGTAAGGGTTTTCCACATTATTTATCCCAGTTCTTCAGCAGGAGCGTGTCAGTAATTTCTAAATTATGGATTGAGGCCGATATACACCAAATGACCTTCAAGAACGCCTGATTACAATGTACAATTCAGACAAATGTTCACACATTCAGTTTCAATATGGCGTCTCCCATTTTGAGTCTGCTGCTGTTCCACCCCCTCCCCCCCCCCCTTTCACTTAAGATTTCTCAAAGGTTCCAAATAGCACCACATTTTAATATGCAATTATTATATTATTCATTTATATGTTCTACCTTTAGGAAAATTACGTAAAAAGAAAATCCACGAACAATATAATGAGTCATTAAAAACTCATTGCACTGGGCCGTCACTCTTTTAAGCGTAGTTTAAGCGTAGTTTAAGAAGTTTAAGCGTAGTTTAAGCGTAGTTTAAGAAGTTTAAGCGTAGTTTAAGCGTAGTTTAAGAAGTTTAAGCGTAGTTTAAGCGTAGTTTAAGAAGTTTAAGCTTCTCTTCTGATAGATCAAAACAACAGTGTTATCAGTTTTTTCACTACTATCACGCTGTGTTATAACTACAGGTGGAACAAGTTTTAATGTTGACTCACAGTCTGGATATATCTTTATTCTTGTTTTTCTTCGAGAAACCAACCACAAGAACTATGCAGAAGTGACAGTCATTCAGGTGAATATTTGGTTCTTGCCCCGCCATTGAGTCTGCAAATGGCACCGATGTGAGTTTCCCATCCAATCACTGTGTCAGTCCAGAGTTACAAACAGTACAGCATGTGTGTGGCGCCTATGTTATATCTTGACCACCTGTCATGCAACCGAAGTATTGCTGGTATGCAATCTTGACACGATATGTTGTTTTTTGTTGATCATGTTGTATACTTCCCACATTGCAAAAGCTGTCTGCACTGTCCAGGCATTCTCTTCTGTGTGTGTTACTCTGAAATAGATTTCATAAAATAGAGCAAAGGAAACTGAATGTAAATATGGATGTGTGTGTATGGCAGAGAAATGCAATTTAATCAAAGTAAACACCAGTGTACACAATGAATAGTAACCTTAATTAAATGTGTGAACACTGGATGACCGGAGAACAACTGATACTCTCGTACTGTTCCTGACAAGCAGACATGATGCATGCTAAAAATAACCTATGAAGCTTTCGTTTATTGTAGCAGTGAATTTATTGTTGTCCAGTGATATCTTAGTTTTTTCCTCTCATCGCTTCTTTCACACCCTTCTTTCGGTATCTACAGTAACATCCATCCACCTATTACTTACGCACCTTCCATACAAACCATTCTTTCTACATGACCAAACTTTGTCAACAATCCCATTTTTTTCAAATTTTTCGTTGTAAAGTTCGTATCACTATACCGTCTTCTTTATTCGAATTTTCCTTATTATCAGTAGCATTTACAACTTTGACATGACAGGTTCACTTCGTCCAGTATCATTCTTCATGGAACATTTAGTGGTCATGTTTCTCATTAACACTAAAGTGTCAGCACTACGATACTCTGATGTATTTTAATTCTTTCATCCATCAACAAACTTTGTCATTTCACAGCATCATCAACACACCTGCAACTTTCTTTTCTTCTTATATTCTGTGATTGGCCTCGTCTTTGATAAACCTACTGCTGATAAACCCACAAAACATTCACATCCTCAAACCACCTTCATTTCTTTGTGAAATCTCTTCCTTGATTTGCTCATATTTCTCTTTGTTTATTCTCACCTTTCTTGTACTACTCTTTTGTAAAAAACTTTAATTTTTCTGTTGCACACGTTTCCGAACTTCAGTTGAAACTTCTGCAACTTCTTTTAAAAAACTTTTAAGTATGAACACTTGTGGAAGATGTCGCCTCATAGTCATACACATGAATCTGTTCAATCTACTTTTCCCTTAAACTGTTATCTATTATCATACAAGTTATTCCTTCTCTGGCTGTTCCATTATTCTCACCCTGGGGGTGAGAATTATGGAACAGCTCAGCATGTGAAGTATTGTGACCTGTGCTAAATCGTGACCTCTCCAAATCTCTCATTACTGTCGCCCTTGTATAGGTCTGCACACGTTGTGCGGGTAGTAATGTTGATAATTTACTATATTATTAATATTATCATAAGAGTTTCACTGAGTAACTTACGTTAACTTTTATCTCTGTATGACTAAATGGATCATAGAGACCAGTTAAAATTATAATTCACTGAATTTTTGTTTACATTCTGATATTTTCTTTCCTGTATTTACCAGGTCAGTTTGTGTATTTTTCCCATCTCTATATTTTCTACTTCACATCGTGGCATTTTATGATCCTCTTTATTCACTAGTTGAGATTGACATTTTCCTCCCGCATTTTCCCACAGCAAGGCTTCTCGTGCAATGATATGAGAGATAAGGGCTTGGGGCAGAGCGGTACTTACTATCTCAAGATCCGCGGCACCACTTACTGGTTCCTCAAGGTCTTCTGTGACATGGACACTGCTGGTGGTGGCTGGACGGTGAGTATGTTAACCCCACTATACCCCCCCCCCGCATGCACGCACACGCAGGCGTGTGCCCACACACACACACAACACACACACACACACACACACACACACACACACACACACACACACACACACACACACACACACACACGCAGGCGTGCGCCCACACACCACACACACGCAGGCGTGTGCCCACACACACACACACACACACACACACACACACACACACACACACACACGCAGGCGTGCGCCCACACACACACACACACGCAGGCGTGTGCCCACACACACACACACACACACACACACACACACACACACACACACACACACACACACACACACACACACACACACACACACACACGCAGGCGTGCGCCCACACACACACACACACGCAGGCGTGTGCCCACACACACACCACACACACACACACACACACACACACACACACACACACACACACACACACACACACACACACACACACGCAGGCGTGCGCCCACACACACACACACACGCAGGCGTGTGCCCCACACACACACACACACACACACACACACACACACACACACACACACACACCACACACACACACACACAGGCGTGTGCCCACACACACACACAAGCGCTTTCGTGACTGCTCAAATCCTTGACAATGTGAGCAGTCACGAAAGCGCTTGGAATTTCACTACTCTTTCACAGTGGTTGTTTTGCATATATATATATATATATATATATATATATATATATTATATATATATATATATATATATATATATATATTATATATATATATATTGTGTGTGTGTGTATGTCGTGCCGAATAGGCAGAACTTGCGATTTTGGCTTAAATAGCAACGCTCATCTTGCCATATAGGACAAGTGAAAATTTGTGTATGCAATAATTTCCCCAGAATCATTCTGAACCTAACGAAAAAAATATATTTCACTGTGTTTGTTTATTATTAAATTATTGTAAACAAATCTAAAATATATTTAGTTAGGTTAGGCTAAAATAATTGTTTTTGTTATAATAAGGTTAGGTAAGTTTTCTAAGATTCTTTTGGAGCAAAATTAAAATTTTTTACATTAACATAATGAAAAAAATAGCTTTAAACGTATAAGAGAAAATTTCAGAAAGGACTTAATTTTAAATGAGTTCTTGCTAATTGACCAGTTTTCCCTATTCGGCACGACATATATATATTATATATATATATATATATATATATATATATATATATATATATATATATATATATATATATATATATATATATATAGGCCAGTTGGCAGAAGTATGAGGACAGCAATAGGCCACTGGTGGACACAATAGGAAAGGTAGCTAGAAGAGCCCTCGTGGGAAGTGCAAAACTACTGATATGAGAGACTTCAGGCATAACGAAATAGAGTGGGAAAGTCTGGAGCCTCAGGGAGGACCAGAAACATGGAGAGCTAAGATGACAGTGGAAAACTTCGTGTCAACACGTCAAGGACACAACTAGAGAGAGAGGAGGTCATGAGTCAGCGAGGTTGGACCTTGTATTCACCCTAAGTAACTCTAATGCACACGACTTCGAATAGGCCCCTTGGTGCTAGCGACCACTTATCATGGGGGGAGCGCTAAACCCGTAGGGATTATATACCGCCTTTGAGGGGGGGATGGAAGGCATTCAAGCTTAATTCAGGGAACTGGAGCACAGATCCTATTCCCTAGATCAAGAGCCCCTCACCAGCGTCGAGGAATCTCCCTTTAGGGGCTAGCGACCACTAACTGATGAGGTTCGAACACTTTGCCTAATGGAAGGGAATGTGGTGAAAAGTAGATCATGAATAAGAGGACAAATCTGACTTCAAAAGAGGAGTCTCTGGTGGCATGAGATAATTCCTAAACTGAGTGCCATGGGAAAGGAAACTAGAGGGAAAGACAGTAAATGAAATGGAATATATAACTGGATAGCAGAAGAAACAAAGGCAATAATAGATTGAGCCCACTGGCTCACCCAGACATGCAGGGAGGCAAAAGCTAAAAGTACAAGACCATGGAATACGTACAAGTAGCCAAGAATAGGGAAACGAAGCAAAAGAGCCAGATATAAATATGCGTTGGTAAGAAGAGAGGCTGAACGTAAAGTTGAGAGTGACATAACATCGAAAAGCCAAATCCGAGTCGAAGTCCATGTACAGCCACATCAGCAAGAAGACAAATGTGAAAGACCATGTAATAAGACTTAAGAAGGAAGGAGGGAAAGCTCACTCTGAATGACCTGGAAGTTTGAGGAGCTGAACAAAAGATATAGGGAGGTATTCTCAGTGGAATCAGGAACATTGCCAGTCATAGGAATAGTGTGTGTGTGTGTGTGTGTGTGTGTATGTATGTATGTATGTATGTATGTATGTATGTATGTTTAGTCACCTAGTACTCACCTAGTTGTGGTTGGAGGGGTCGAGTCACAGCTGGCCCCGCCTCTTCACTGGTCGCTACAAGATCACTCTTCCTGCTCCAAGAGCTTTATCATACCTGTGAGTATGTGTGTACTCACCTAATTGTGGTTGCAGAGGTAGATTCATAGCTCCTGGCCCTGCCTCTTCACTGGTCGCTGCTGGGTTACTCCCTCTATAAGTTTTATCATACTCTTCTAAAAGCTAAGTATGGAACCTGCCTCCACTACATCACTTTCCAGACTATTCCACTTCCTGTGTGCGCGCGCGCGTGTGTGTATACACATCAAAGAGTACTGGACACAACAGAAACAAGGGGATAAGAGGTGAAGAAAATACGCAGTGAGCTCGATACATCGAAGGCAACAGGGTCAGGCAAAAATCTCTCCCTGGGTTCTACGAGAGGGAACAGAAGAACTGTGTGAACCATAATCTCCGATCTTCAGCAAATGGATTAAAAAAAGGGGCAGATGCTAGAGGTCTGAAAAACAGCGAATGTTGCCCCAACAGGTGAAACTGAGCTACAGACCTTTCACTGATATGCATAGTATGTAAGGTTATGGAGAAGATTATCAGAAGAGTAGTGGAGCACCTGGAGAGGAGTGCTTTCATAAAGAACTGCCACGGTTTTTGAGATGATAAATCCTGTCTCATAACTCTTCTATGGTTTTATGATACAATAATGAAAGTTAGGCAGGAGAGACAGCGATGAGTGCATTTTGGACTGCTAGCAGACGTTTGATACAGTATCCCACAAGAAACTTACACAGAAGCTAGAAGAATATTCAGTAATTACAGGAAAAGCCCTACAGTGGATCAAGGAATATTTAACGAGAAGGAACCAAGAGTTGGAATGGGCGAATGTGACAAGTGGGCTTCCGCAAAAGTCAGTACTTAGACCAGTACTGTTCATTGTTTATGTGAACAAAATGACAGAGGAAATCGATGAGAGACTAATGAAGACAATACAAACAGGAGTAAACCAGGAAAGACTATAAATGGACCTGGACAAGCTGCAGGATTGGTCTGACAAGTCGCTACTGAAATTTAACCCAAGGAAATGTCAAGTTATGACAATCCAAGAAAGGCAAAGACATCTGAAATCATTGTACAGATTCGGGGTAAAAAGACTGTAAACCTTCCTGAAAGAGGAGGGCCTCGGGGTGAGCATACTTACGACCATCTCACCTGAGCCACACACATCAATCAACTGCTGTAACAAACACGAAACTGTGAAATTTAAAGGTAGCTTACAGCAACATCAAGAAGGAAGCATAAACGACCGTATACACGGCATATGTAAGTCCCATCAGGAATATGCAGTGGTTCCCGCATCTGGTAAAGCAAGTAAAGATGCTGGAAGAAGTGCAAAAGTTTGCATCAAAACTAGACCCAGACTAAAGGGTACGACCTATAAGGAGAAACAAGAGGACCTAAACCTGACGACATTACAGGACAACGAAGAACCAGAGATGGCATGCTTACCACTTACAAAATATTCAGAAGAATTGACAGGGTGGACAGGATAAGTCTCTGAGAAGCGAGTCTCAGGTACATGAAGTCACAGCTGGAAGTCAAAAACACATGATTCACAGGGAAGTTAGGAAATATTTCTTTATCCTTAGAGTGGTCAGGAAGTGGAATGACCTAAATAGCGAAGTGCTAGAGAAAGAATCCGTACATAAGTTTACGAGTAGAAAACATAGGTCGCACGGCCAGGAGAAAATAAAACCAGAAGCAACCACCAGAAAGATGGGGCCATGATTACTCTACCCCCTGAAACCACAATTAGGTGAACACACACACACACACACACACACACACACACACACACACACACACACAGACACACACACACACACAGACACACACACACACACAGACACACACACACACACAGACACCACACACACACACAGACACACACACACACAGACATACACACACAGACACACACACACAGACACACACACACACCTAGAAAGGAACGATCTCATCAACAGCAGCCAACATGGTTTCAGGGACGGGAAATCCTGTCACAAACCTACTGGAGTTCTATGACATGGTGACAGCAGTAAGACAAGAGAGAGAGGGGTGGGTGGATTGCATTTTCTTGGACTGCAAGAAGGCGTTTGACACAGTTCCACACAAGAGATTGGTGCAAAAACTGGAGGACCAAGCAGGGATAACAGGGAAGGCACCACAATGGATCAGGGAATACTTGTCAGGAAGACAGCAGCGAGTCATGGTACGTGGCGAGGTGTCAGAGTGGGCACCTGTGACCAGCGGGGTCCCGCAGGGGTCAGTCCTAGGACCAGTGCTGTTTCTGGTATTTGTGAACGACAACGGAAGGAATAGACTCTGAGGTGTCCCTGTTTGCAGATGACGTGAAGTTGATGAGAAGAATTCACTCGATCGAAGACCAGGCAGAACTACAAAGGGATCTGGACAGGCTGCAGACCTGGTCCAGCAATTGGCTCCTGGAGTTCAATCCCACCAAGTGCAAAGTCATGAAGATTGGGGAAGGGCAAAGAAGGCCGCAGACGGAGTACAGTCTAGGGGGTCAGAGACTACAAACCTCACTCAAGGAAAAAGATCTTGGGGTGAGTATAACACCAGGCACATCTCCTGAAGCGCACATCAACCAAATAACTGCTGCAGCATATGGGCGCCTAGCAAACCTCAGAACAGCATTCCGACATCTTAATAAGGAATCATTCAGGACCCTGTACACCGTGTACGTTAGGCCCATATTGGAGTATGCGGCACCAGTTTGGAACCCACACCTAGCCAAGCACGTGAAGAAACTAGAGAAAGTGCAAAGGTTTGCAACAAGACTAGTCCCAGAGCTAAGAGGTATGTCCTACGAGGAGAGGTTAAGGGAAATCAACCTGACGACACTGGAGGACAGGAGAGATAGGGGGGACATGATAACGACAAAACAAAATACTGAGAGGAATTGACAAGGTGGACAAAGACAGGATGTTCCAGAGATTGGACACAGTAACAAGGGGGCACAGTTGGAAGCTGAAGACACAGATGAATCACAGGGATGTTAGGAAGTATTTCTTCAGCCACAGAGTAGTCAGTAAGTGGAATAGTTTGGGAAGCGATGTAGTGGAGGCAGGATCCATACATAGCTTTAAGCAGAGGTATGGTAAAGCTCACGGCTCAGGGAGAGTGACCTAGTAGCGATCAGTGAAGAGGCGGGGCCAGGAGCTCGGACTCGACCCCCGCAACCTCAACTAGGTGAGTACAACTAGGTGAGTACACAGACACACACACAGACACACAGACACACACACAGACACACACACAGACACACACACAGACACACACACAGACACACACACAGACACACACACAGACACACACACAGACACACACACAGACACACAGACACACACACAGACACACACAAAACAGACCAGGTGTCTATCGATAAGTGTTTTTGACAACTGGTAACTAAGAAACACACATACACTAATGAAATATTTTTTTTCTGTATAAATCACTTAAGAATTTATTTTAAAGAATCTTGCTAATATTTAGTAAGTTTATTCAGGTACAGGAACACAACTACAGTTACATAAATTATTATACATAGCATCACACATATGTATTATTGTTATTATAGGGGAGCGCTAAACCCATAGGATTATACAGCGCATGTGGGGGGGATGGAAGGTATTCAGGCTCAGTTCAAGGAACTGGAGCACAGATACAATTCCCTAGATCAAGAGCCCCTCACCAGCATCAAGGAACCTCCCTTGAGGGGCTGTTTGTGTACATTACCCAGGATTATCCAAAAAAGACAAAGTGACTTATTTCCATTGGAAATAAGTATTGTTCTCTGATCTCAGTCAATAATATTATTACTTTGGCACCTTATTAAAAAATTATTACTTTGGAATCTCATTCTCCAAAGTATTACTTTGGAATATCATTCTCCAAAATACTACTTTGGGATGTCATTCTAAATTTTGCTTAGGAATCTCATTTAAAAGTACAGTATTACTTCGGTATCTTACTTAAGAATGTTATTTTGGTATCTAATATTATAAAAATATTGCTTGGCCATCTCGTAAAGAATATTCCTTATCCCGCAAGTGAATTATTATTATTATTAAAGATTCGCCGGTATTCTTCCGGCTCGGGCCTTTTCCAAGTGGTGGCCCGGCCCCGCAAGTGAAGTTCCGTGAAGTTGATGTGGTGTTGTGATTCACAGGTGATCCAGAGGCGCGACGACTACGGTGAGCCTCGGGAGACCTTCAACCGCGAATGGAACGACTACAAACACGGCTTCGGCAACCCTGAAGCCGAGTTCTGGCTGGGGAACGAGAACATCTACATGCTCACCAACACAGACAACTATATGCTCAGAGTAGAACTGGAGGACTTCGATGGGAACAGAAGGTGTGGTGGCCAACTAATGTTTACATCTCTAGCGATAATTGAGGCTATGAAAAAAAAAAATATTCGAGATTAAACAGATACGATAAAAATGGGAACTCTTGAACAAATATTCACAATGTATTGTGTAGGAGGATGTATGATCATTTTTTTCTTGATTGTGAATGCTAATTTAGTTTCGATTAATGTTTTATTCATGGGGGAAGCTCTAAATCTTTAGGAGTCGTATGCACCTGGGGAATTAGAGGTAATCAGGTTTTATCCTAGCAACCGGAGGGACGCTCCAACTCCTTGGCTCAGGAGTTCCTCACAAGTATTCCCTTAAAGGGTTATCGAGTCTCGAGCCGTTTTTAGCTTGACATGAAAGGGACTTCGGTGTTCAGTAAGTACCATCTTCACATTACTGGTGGCTCTGCAGGTACGCCGAATACTCCACCTTCAAGCTACACTCGGAGAAAGACAACTACAAGCTGGAGATCGGTGGGTACTCGGGTAACGCAGGAGACTCCCTCAATGACCCCTGGTACGGCTCCAACCTCAGCCCCTTCTCCACGGTCAACAGGTAACCATCGCTCATCCCGTATTAAACTTTTTCCCTTCATTATTTAATCAATAATCCGAGGCCCTAGAACCAGGCTCTCTGATCTAATGTGCCCCACACTTCATTGTTCTATATTCACGAAAAAAAACTTAGTTATTTGTTAATTACATACTTTCCTGGATCAAGAGCCCTTCTCCAGTATAATGGCACGCCTCTACAAAGAAAATATGAGAAACGAGGCAGGAAGAAGAGTCTTGTGGTTTAAGAACCATAACCATTGTCTTTTAAATTTTCAGCTTCGCTGACCCAACACTAGATTACTTTGACGACCTAACAACTGATTACAATGATGACCTAACATACGATTACATTGATGACCTAACAGATGATTACAATGATGACCTAACAGATGATTATAATGATCTAACAGATGATTACAATGATGACCTAACAATTGATTACAATGATGACCTAACAATTGATTACAATGATGACCTAACAGATGATTACAATGATCTAACAACTGATTACAATGACCTAACAGATGATTACAATGACCTAACAGGTGATTACAATGATGACCTAACAGGTGATTACAATGATGACCTAACAGGTGATTACAATGATGACCTAACAGGTGATTACAATGATGACCTAACAGATGATTACAATGATGACCTAACAGGTGATTACAATGATGACCTAAAAACTGATTACAATGATGACCTAACAACCGATTACAATCATGACCTAACAACCGATTACAATCATGGCCTAACCGATTACAATCATGACCTAACAACCGATTACAATCATGGCCTAACCGATTACAATCATGACCTAACAACCGATTACAATCATGGCCTAACCGATTACAATCATGACCTAACAACCGATTACAATCATGGCCTAACCGATTACAATCATGACCTAACAACCGGTTACAATGATGACGTAACAGATGATTACAATGATGACCTAACAGATGATTACAATGATGACCTAACAACCGATTACAATGATGACCTAACAACCGATTGCAATGATGACCTAACAACCGATTGCAATGATGACCTAACAACTGATTACAATGATGACCTAACAACTGATTACAATGATCTAACAACCGATTACAATGATGACCTAACAACTGATTACAATGATGACCTAACAACCGATTACAATGACCTAACAACCGATTACAATGACCTAACTGATTACAATGATGACCTAACAACTGATTACAATGATCTAACAACCGATTACAATGATGACCTAACAACCGATTACAATGATGACCTAACCGATTACAATGATGACCTAACAACTGATTACAATGATGGACTAAATCGATTACAATGATGACCTACAGACGATTACAATATGACCTAACACCGATTACAAATGACCTAACAACCGATTACAATGATGACCTAACCGATTGCAATGATGACCTAACAACCGATTACAATGATGACCTAACAACTGATTACAATGATGACCTAACAATGATTACATATGACCTAACAACCGATTACAATGATGACCTAACAACTGATTCAATGATGACCAAAACCTGATTACAATGATGACCTAACAACCGATTACAATGACCTAACAACTGATTACAATGATGACCTAACTGATTACAATGATGACCTAACAACTGATTACAATGATGACCTAACAACTGATTACAATGATGACCTAACAACTGATACAATGATGACCTAACTGATTAAAATTTGATGACCAAACAACTGATTACAATGATGACCTAACAACTGATTACAATGATGACCTAACAACTGATTACAATGATGACCTAACAACTGATTACTTTGCTCAGCCAAACGTTTTACTTTGTTCAACTTATCGCAGAAGTTAATATTAGGTGTGGGATTCTCAAGCTTTTCAATTCTCTACTTTTATATCTAGAACTTGTACTGTATTCGATGAACTCATTTCTGTGCAACCAAAGTGTCTTGCACGTAAGGTCCTACTCCTCCCTGTGACCTGTTAACTCTGTCACATCTATATGAATTAAGGTCCTACTTCTCCCTGTGACCTGTTAACTCTGTCACATCTATATGAATTAAGGTCCTACTTCTCCCTGTGACCTGTTAACTCTGTCACATATATATGAATTATATATTTTTTAACTATCTCACCGTCCCAAACATCCCTTGTATGTGTTTCTGTGAGTCTTCCAAATATAACATTCACTTCTGTGAGGAACCCGTTAACCCTGAATGTTTACCACGACAAAAAAGGAAACAGGATTTACCATTTGAGATGTTTTTGTTTTGTTTGTTAGTACCACTGTTACTGTACTACATGGTATGGCACCTGGTGTACACGCCTCTGCTTTCTCCAGTTTGTGCACTTCTGTGCCATCTGTAGAACTTCCTGTTTATCCTCTTTTTTTATTGGGTCTGCTAGTTTCTCTTGTCCTCTATAAAAAGGAATGCTGTTAATTTTTCATTCCTCTGCTTTCTCTGTAGCGCCGCATTCCTTTCCCGCAGTAGTCTGGGCAGCTAAGGTGCACTGAGGCTTTGTATATTTCTTTGCACATTTATAAGAATTGTGATCACCTGGCTGGTAGAACAAGTGTGATTTTCACTTTTTTTGTTTGTTTTTGGTATAACACAAGTGATGTTTAGCGTTCTTTCATAACATGTATCCTCTCCCTGACAGAGACAACGATCGCTCCAGCCTAAACTGCGCCTCCATGCTGAAGGGAGGATGGTGGTGGCGCTCGTGCGGTCGAGGTCTTAATGGTATCTACCTCACCGACCCCAACGACCTTACTGCGAGACAAGGTCAGTACTTGAGGCATAACACTAATAGATCCTAGAACACCATTCTCTCTGAGACTAAATAATAATGTAATAGTATCTCTATGAATAAGTCTTTAAACATTTGTACCTCTAAGTTTAGACTTTAAGATAATAGTCTTGATGAAGACGGTTGGTTAATGTAGTTTGAAGCCTATCGACTACAAAAGGGTCATTAACCTTGCCACCATCAGACAAGAATACTTTAAACCCTAAAATAGGGATTAAAATAAATTTTCAGCATATATAAGCTGAGAGAAATACCCCTCTCAGAATATATGTCCTGTGATCAAGATGGTTACTTTTGGGTGTTTAAATTATCATAACTGCACGTTTAACCCAGAACGTGAGTAGTTTAAAGGAGATCCGCATATTTACTATCAAAATATATAAACGAATATTGTCTTTATATTTCGACCTTCAAGAGAGATCAACTTTATTCTGTTAAAGAGGACCTCAGTCAGATATCCAAATATACTTAGAAAATTCGCTTGCAGATTTTCTTAGTATACTTGAGAGTTTTCTTTAAACATCGGAAGAGTTTCATTTCACTTTATAATCGTTGCTAACTGAGATGTTTGTGACCCTGGCAGGTATCGTGTGGTTCCGGTGGAGGGGCTGGGACTATACCTTGAAGAAGTCAGTCCTTATGATCAGGCCCAAGACGAAGGAGAGACAACCAACTTAATTATAGGGATGCTGCTGCAAGAATGTGGAGAGAACAAGTCAAGGGTAGAAGACAATGTAGGGAACGTAAAGAGAAAAACGAATCGTCCATTTAACGTAGTCAAGAAAACTGCTGACCGATAAACTTTTTTGCGGAAAATTAAAGAAAATGTAGAAGACTTTTGTAACTTCTCCAAAACAAAGGAGGTTGTAAGCAGAGACTCTTGGAGAATTTCGTGATTGCCATGTCGTCTGCTCCATCGAGTAAAACAAAATACAAAAAAAAATCTGCAATATGGTGATGGCTGGTGCTGGTGACGTTGTCTGGCGACCTCGTGAAGACGAACATAATAACGTCAACAATATGAAGGATGGACCTGCTCTCTCCAGTCACTTTTGCTAAGCATTAAAAATTTACTACGAGTACTTTAGGAAGAAAGCTATGTATATATTACGACGGTAGTAAAGTGCAATACTAAGATTCTGTCTAAATACACTGTATTATTTTACGATAGCTAAAGAATAGTTATATAGTTTACTTCCGACTTTATCAAGATGATTACTGGTTTTGGATTAAGTGCTTTAAAGAACACTAATGTAGTCCGGTCAACTGGACTTGCACAAGTTTGTGTTGCTTGCTTCTCTATTGTCTAGGTTACTATAATTACTAGTGTATCCATGAGTTGGCGCTAAGTCCGTAGGAGTCATATAGCGCTTGAGAAATGAGAAGCAATCAGTTTCGATCCAAGTATGAGAGGGTAGCTACAATTCCTTGAATGGAGAGCTCTTTACCAACACAACATCCCCATTGACGCGTTTCTCGTCTGAGAAACAGTGGTCAGGAGAGTTGTAGAGGCGGCGTTACCTTGTATAAAAATTTAATGGTTATAATCACATACATAATTTTTAATGGGGTGGAGAGGTAAGCCAGCGGAAGGACTCGGTCAGATGACCAAAAACTCCAGCTGAGGGTCATTATATGTCTAAGACCCGCGTCAGGAAACACTTATCCTGCTTCCTGAGAAGTCTTAACCGAAACCTAACGTCTTCTGTTTATAAATAGAGAAGCAACAGTGTTGCTGGTGTGTCAAGTTGCAAGTGACTGGACTACGTAGTGTTGTGTCAAGTATTACGGGACCTGTTCTGTTATGTGTCTGTGTGTATAGTCTCTTGCATGTCTCTTTCTATAATAGTTTAGATAGTGTTAGATTTATTTATTTTTGGTATCTCTCTACGAAAATATTACTTCGTGCGTCCTTGTTCAGCTACACCTACATACACACACCTACACACACACACACCTACACACACCTACACACACAAACACTTGAACAGTCACACACTATTGAGTGTGGTTCCTGTATATGTGTGAATTGGTGTATATTTACTTAAATATACATGCTGACATGATCATTCTCTTTTTTTATACATATGCGTCTGTACAACATTATTCATGTATGACTGTGCACTTGTGTATGAGTTTGCATTCCTGGTGTATACAAGACCTAAGGTGTATTTGTGAGAATGAATGTATTTTTGTGTGTTTTGAGAAGAGTGGTTCCAGCCAGCGCTCTTCACGCCCTCCGCTACTGGTCACACAGGGAGATAAGTCTTCCTCATTTATTTAATATAAATAAATTTATAAATATATATATATATATATATTCTCACCTGTATATTTATGCTTCTGTAGAGCAGCAGTGTAAGCTTTGTACATGGAGCTTCTTATGTTCAATAATTTTGTAAGTATAGTTCCCTTCTGACGTTTTGTTATCTACTCTCTATATTATACACTGTATAATCTTCGCTCTACATATTACCTTCACTCTATATTACATAAAGTGCGCTAATAAAACGAGTATATTTTTTAGACACGCTTTTCCTTGTTATATTTTGTTTAGAAGATGAATGAAAAATGATAGGTTTGTTGTAGCAGAAATCTGAGTGTTCTGCTCACTTAAGGAATACATTGGTACCACAAGATGTTTGGGAATGCTCTGATCTGCTAACTTAAGAGGCTATAATGTATTTTAGGGGCTCAAGCGATGGCTGTTGAAAATTAATGAAATACTATTTCCCGGTATTGGTGGGGGTTGAACGCAGTGCTGAGCATCGACGTGTGTATCTCCGTCACTCGTAGTCTAGCACAGTAGTCCCCGGCCTTTTAGTGTGAACGGAGCAATTTGAAAAGCCCCATTTTTTTATTTTTTTTTTATTTTTTTACGAATAATAGCAATATTTTGTAAATGTTGACACTGCAGTGTGGAGGCTACATAATTTGAATTCATAATTTCTTGTAAGGGCCGCATCCATTTCCTACAAGGGTCACGGGCGGTCCTCGGGCCCCAGGTTAGGGACCCCTGCTCTAAACTCAACCACGTTCTAAAGGATTCGGCTATATGGCTGAGCAATATCAGCTAGCCGTGTTAACACTAAGTGTTGTAAGCAAGATATTGTCATCAGGTCTTCGTATGTATGGTGTGTGTTCACTGTGTAACACAAGGTAGTGGAGGCATTACCTACTGATGTTCTGAGGATCATCGCCCCCTCGGCCCCTACCCAAATCAGGCCTTTTAATAATGACTTGTTCAGTCAGGCTCTTCATGTTGACTGCACGCAGTTCAATGTAAGAAGCTCCACAACCTGACTGATCAGGGATTGGTGGGAGGAATTTGTCAAGTTTCCTTTTAAAGACAAATATACTGGACTATTGATAATTGTTTTCAACTGATAATTGTTAAAGGAATTTTGGAAAGCCTGTGAGGAGCCCTGGTAGGACGACCATTCACGCATTACTAGGTGGTCATAGTGACGGAGACCATAGTGAGAAAATAATGGTGATTGTAGTGGAGGTAATTGTGGTGAGGGTGATTGTAGTGAAGCAAAATATAGTGAGGGAGTGTATGGAGTGTAGTGAGGGAGATGGAGAAACAGTAACGTGAGATAGTGAGGAAGAACGTAGTTTGGGAGGGTGTAGCAAGGGAGTGTGATGTGTTGTGCTCAGGACTGGTACTAGGCTGCTGCATACCTCACTGACAACAGAAGACTACTTACACTCATCTTACTCAAAAGCCTGCAGCCTCACATTCGTAATATTTTTGAGGGCCTTTTTCTTTGGCATTAAACTAAAATTTGAGGATACTGTCGATTTTCTTTCTCGAAGAGAATCTTGTTTTTGATAGTGTACAGTCCATGTCCATGTGCTAAAATATCCTCAGATCCTTAGCCTGACGTCCTGCTTCTGCATAAAAAAATCCTGAAAGTTGACATTATATTCGAGACTTTATATGGTGTCACTTGACATTCAGTGTTGAAAAAAAAGAGCTTATGGAGTCAAAATGTGCTCATGGTCTAGTGTGGCAAATACAGGAAAATGTCTTCACATGTGTGTTACCGAATATTTTTTTATACCTGGAGTGTTTCATCATTTTCTGTGTTTTTGCAAGTGCCTACTGGAAAACTATAGTTATCACCAAAGTTTGTCATGCGAGCGCGACGCTGTCTCTGATGACAGTATATAACTTGTAATAATAAAACATTGATAAAGCAAAAGCTAGTGTATGTATCCTTAAAAGTATCCTATAAAAAAAATTAAACAAATGACCCGCACATAGAAGAGCGAGGAGCTTATGACGACGCTTCGGTCTGATTTGGACCATTTACAAAGTCACACTAACGAAAACGATACGATACGATAGGACTCACAGGTAAGTACCCACAAGGGGCGAGGGGCAAGTGGGGACAGTGCGAAGAATAGACGGTGAGAGGAATGTCTTGAGTTGAAGAGAGAAGAGTCAGGACTAAACCCAACTGCTAAGCCTGAATGACGATGATGAAACGATGTAGACAACAGGAACTGCAGGAGCTGACTGCAACTTGCTGGATGGAAGATTTCTGCTTCTTGATGGTGATTGGTGGCTGCAGGCGACAAGGGAGGGGCTCAACGTTGATTGGTCATTTCATAATGGCTTGGTGGTTACTTGGAATTGTGGCGTTTTTTGACGAAGAAAGCTTCCTTGGAGAGGCAAGTTCCATTTCTAAGATGTTTAAAGCGTTGGAAAGGAATTATCATGAGGCGAGTTAAGGAGTGTTCATATTCAGGAGTTTTACACCAAAGGTCAAGGTTCGCTATAATGGTTGAAAGATTAACGGGATCAGCTTCTTTAGAATCTCCAACGACATACTTGACTGTCTTGTTGTTGAGGTGAGATTTTAGTTCAGCTGGCTCCATGTCCTGAGGATAATTTGCTGTGGTACAGAAAGATACGTTGTACCATTTGGCATAGTGTTGTCCTTCTGGTCTAGTATCGAATCTTGGGTCTTGAGATGGTATTATTGGTGCTGGTGTTTGTACATTTATTTCTTCATCTGCAATGGACGAATGGGAAGATGGTTCTGGTGGAAAGGCTTCTGATTGGTCGGTTTCATTGAGGAGTGGAGGCGATGGAGACTTCTCATTGGACGTTGTTGGAGTGACGTCACTAGGTGTTGGTGGTGTTGGAGCTGCTGATGCAGAAGTGGTGATTAGATCCTTGGTAAATTTTAGTATTTCTTCCGAAGGTGGAGATGCTGGGAATATAAATGATGGCATATTATTTAGTGCAAATAACTCGTTGATGGTAGAGTTAAAAGATCCAGGTACAGCCATGTTCTGCATGTGAGCGTATAGTAGACAGTAGTGGATCTTGGTTACGTCACTTGCAGGAGGAGTGATGATGGTGGAGGCTGGCTGAGTAGTAGCTTGAAGTAATTTTGTAGTGTTAGCTTGTATCTTTGCAATTGCTGCATACGTTGGTGTGTTGCTAGTAGGTTTTTTCTTTGCTGCTTCTTGTGTTTTTTTCACAATATCCTTTCGTGTAGGACATTTTGCTGCCAGTGTATGGTGGTCGTTACTTTTACAGTTTAAGCACGATGGTTGTGGTGGAGCAGCAGCGGTGCAGGAACTGAAGGTGTGTCCCTCACTACCACATGTAGTGCAGAACTTCTTGTCTTTTACTGGACATGCTTTGGTGGTGTGATGGTAAGAATAACAGTTCCAGCAGTGTTGGATGTACTGATATCTCTCTGCTTCGATGTAGGCAGGACTGATGTAGTAGTAGTAAACAGCAAGACCTTCGTTCAGAGCAGTGGCAGCCATGTTAACGTCGGTGAAGGTGACCTTGAGCATGGACGATGCATTTGGGATTTTTGTGATGCTGTCAACAGTAGCCCAAGTATTTTGCGTCTCGATGGATGTCTTGAGTTCTGCTGGTGATTGAGACGTCAGAATCTTGTCCAGTTTTTTGAGGAATACTGATTTCCTGGCCCTGAGGGCAGGAGATGACGTAACAGTAAACCCTTGAGCGGTAAGTGTAGTGGTGGCATCTGTAGTGAGCAGCTTCTCTGCTTCAGCATCATCGTGACACACAACAATGAATGCTTCTTTCAGGGACAAAATAGTGTTGAATTTAACTTGCAGTGCTCCCTGAACAACAGTTGCAAGAGCAATCTTCGTTGAATCATCAACGGTACCACTTGTTGGCTTGATCTTTATACGATTTGCGTAGCTCATCGTGCAAGTCAAGGTGAAGACGACGCTGGTAAGGTTCCCCTCCCCAACGGGGATCGTAGGGAGACAGAGTAGGGAAGACTTCACCCAGCTACAAGAGTGCAGAGGCCAACTGTCTGCCCTGGGGCAGGCAGCCAGCTACGCACCAAGTCCTGGAGCAGGATGAAGAGTTCCTCTTCTCTTGCCTGTTCTAGTTGCTGAGTGTCGAGATCTGATCCTCCCAACCGGGAGCAGGTACGTCTTTCCAGTGCAGAAGCCAGTCGAAGAGTGTAACGAAAAAGGAGAGGAGGAGGGAGTATATATAGGCAGGAGGTGGGGGAGGTAGTATGGAGGAGGAGGAGCCAGTCAAATACTAAGAGGAGCACTGCAAGGGAGCTGGTGCCCACAGAGGGTAAGAGCAAGAACACCGAGGGGGGTGGGGAATAAAATAAAGAAGGAACAAATACAGGCCTCAGTCATGTTAGACTTGGTACTGATGCTGGCAGACTTCCCTTGATTAAACTGTAATTTGCGAGGTTGTTGCTAGCAAAAGGCGATCGTTCGCTTCTATACAAGATCAGGGTGTCTGTTACAACCCAGGAGTCCCAAAGGCCTGTTATCCTGGGTGTAAAGGGAGCAAAATAAACAGCAGAAAAACTTTTGACTTATATTATCCTTCACCAATTTAGAACAGCAGTATGTACACTATGTACAGTGATAGGTATTAGTGCACTCCACGGTAAGCAAGGCAGAATAGAAGCCACTAGAGAGCAGACCGTGCTTCAACCAGCTTTAGAATGGGAATGACAAAGGCAGACAGGAGAGTGGTACCCACTTCACCTCTGCGATTGCCAAAACCATCTTCTCATTGCCTGGAACCTGGGTACTGATTGAACGACGGGGCCCCATCGTCAACCCTTAGTCCCTGGTTCGCTGGTTGGGGGAGATAGCCTGTAAATGAGGGTGTGTACATGCGCCGAATAAAGGTTACGTACTCTTTGCATGCCACAGTGTCCATAGATCTTGTCTGCTGCTTGTAGCAACCGCGCCTTCATGATGAAGGCCGAAATGTTCATGCTTGGTTAGTGGCTTTCTTTGTGCTGAACATGGCTTAGCGCTTCTTTTTGATTATAATAATAATAATTTGTGCTGAACGATATTTTAATACATGTAAACTACACATTGTTTACTAAACTATGACAACTCTCACTTTGCATTAGATTCTTAAAGAACAAAATAGCACAGTTACGTGACTTGATCAATGGTACAAGTCGGATTGAAACGTCCTCACAAGTTTCACTCTCCTAAGTGCGTATTATTTGTGTATTTGAATCTTTATCTTTTAATGCCACACATCGCCTAACACCATAGAGTTCCATCTATCTATATGTTAAATAACTATGATGACACCTCAGCCCAACTATCCTCTAAAAATTCCTAACTAATTTACGTAACCTACCACTTGTTCCACACACTTGCAATATCTGCCACACTGCCTTTTCTAAACCGATAAATGTGTTCTTAACTCTTTCAATATTAACTCTACCATATATTTCACCAGGTATACTCAACAGGTTTATTCCTCTATAATTCTTATACACTCTTTTGTCCGTTTTTCCTTTATTCGAAGGAACTATGCACGTTATCTGCCAATTCCTAAATAATATCCCATTCTCATGCATTTATTAAACAAAAGCACCAACCATTCCATAACTAAATCTCCACCTGGTTTTATCATTTCTGTCTTGATCCCATCAATCCCAGCTGCTTTACCCCATTTCATTTTTACCCATTACCTCACGCACCTTCCCGACACTCACATCTGGCTCTTCCTCACTCCTAAAAGATGTTTTACTTCCCTGAATAGCGTATGAAATCACTGCCTCCCTCCCTTCATCAACATTTAATTGCTCCTCAAAATATTCCCTCCATCTTCCCGATTCCTCCACCCCCATATCAACTAACACTTCTCTTCATTTTTTAACTGTTAATTACATTCGTTCCCAAGGCTTTCTCATTCTGTTCTATTTATCTCAGGAAAATTTGTTGACAGAACCTTACATATTCTCTCATTAGATCTTCTTTTACACACTCTCAATACTCTCTTGTACTTTCCATATACTCCATCCTTCTGATATTTACTTCTGCTTTGTAAAAACCTTTCATATTCCAACTTTTTCTCACCACTCTTTTTATCTCATTGTTCCACTAATCGCTTCTCTTCCCTCCTGCACCCACCCTCCTATATCCACAAACTTCTGTTGCACACTAACACTGCATTCCTAAATCTTCCTCACGTATATACATATTTATTCATAAACAAAGTGTTTACTGCGCCGGGGAGGTTACCTCTTGCATCCATTGGCCCTAATTCACCTCATCTTCTGTGCAGCCAGCTATACAATGGCTGAAGTTATGTAAATACGTGGGTACCTTTCTCAGATCGCGCAGTAGTCATACAGAGCCTGGGGAATGAGAGGAAGGGCAGATTACTTCTAATTCCACGGATCATTAGCCTTTCACCAGCATCATCTAAGTCAGCGTCTTATCGCACAGAGCAACGACCACCAAGAGTGAGCAACCTGTACCAAGGAGGCCGGTAATATTCTGCAGCGAATTTAGCATCCAGGAGGAGCCTTTTGATACCAGCAGCTTGAAGGAGTGTAGCGCAGTGTTTAATAATGTCCTGTATGTTCGGTAGAGACCGGCATATAACGGTGTCTTACTGTGATTGGGAAGGTAGTATTTATGTTCCGTGTTCCCTGTATAGAACAGCATCCGGCAGACCAGCATTAAGTATGGTACGAGGCACAAGTGTCAGCACTTACCCTTCACAGCTGCAGGGTCTTCAGTCATCCTCCCTCCTTACCTGTGATACCATCAAACTTCTTACCCGCAAAATTTGTAATTTAAGAGAATATACCTTATATAATCCCACTGTTTCATCGTTGTTCAATCTTAATTTTTATTTTGTTATATGAAGTAAAACAAACGTTAATAGTCCTATGTCCATCCT